GCTCAATGGCAGTTGAGTTAAGGATTGGTACACGCAGCAAGCACTATCATTAGTTCGAAGGCACTGATAATGACAAACTGGTACTTCTCTTTAATTGGGGCTATTTGTAATGCAATCCATTTTTTTCTGGTGGAAACACTAACTACACTAAATGTAAATCTAAGACAAATTATCGGTCTTGGTGACCGTCTTCGACCTACGGTTACAGCAATACAAACCGAAACCCAATATCCGAAGTCTAGTGGTGAATTTCTGTCACACGATTGATCCGGGCGAATCTCTCTCTGCATTGTCTCCATCTCCCATCGATGACGTCAAAGGAGATCTCCAACGCTGTTGAAGCTTCTATTGAATCGGTCTGGATGCTACTCGCTCGATGCGTTTAACAATAGCCAAGTTCAAAACAATCTGCCTGACTGGTCGATAGCCAGTACAATAGCCAACAGGTGTACATCAGCAGCAGCTACCGGCTAAATTTATGGTGTCTAGGGTGGTCCTCACAGACACATATTTTGCAAACACACTAGCACCAACAATCAATACGAAACTAACGATTTTAAATTGGCTCACTACTTGACTAACCTATTGGTCCCAAGCAAACGATTAACGTACCCCATTCTAGTCGAAATTCTAGTACTACACAATGTTTGTTTTGATTCGCTATGAAAGTTTGACAGATTTTCCTATGTTTCGAGGGGTGAATCGATAAGCTTGGGACCGAAGATAGTACCAGAGCTGAGCCAAAAAGTTGAGCACGTCTCTTCGGGACCTTCTGGTCTTAGAGTTACCTCTATGCTAGCACCCTCTATCACACACATTCCCAAGCATTGGTTTTCAACCGGAGCATCCCTCGTTCATGCATTTTTTTCACTAGTTGCTTTTCCCTCGATCTGTCAACACACCAGCTGTGTTGAATAAAAACAGAACAAATACAAGGTACCACAACTTTATAGAAAATCAGTGTCTATCTCTAATTGGAATAGATCCTCCGTTTGAGGTTCGCCCAAACATTTTCTATCGGTCGCAGCTGGGGGACGTTGGGAGAGTTGGCGACTTTCGACACAACGCTTATCATCGCCATCGCGCTTCGCCGGAAAGATGTTTTTCACCAGCACCTTCAGCCGCTCCTTCTGGGTGATTGCCTGCTGCTCAGACACGGCCGGCCTCAACTCAGGCCGGTTGCTCCGACCTCCCGGCCCAAGGCGCGGAACGATGAGACTACCTTGCCCTCGATCTTCCTCTTCAGCTTCTGCTGCACATTACGGTCGCGCAGCACCCCTTCGGGCGGCCGGAACTAGGCTTCCGCCTTTAGCCAGAAGGGAGAGAATGTTGTAAATGCCGGATCCTATATCCGGCGGACACGAATTGCCTAACGATGTCCAACTTTTTCGCTCCGGTGTGGAGCTGGCAGTACGAACAAACCATCGAGCGTTGCTTGACTGTTTTCGCTATGGCTGCTACAAATCAACTGATAACGCTGTCAATCTTTTTCTGTACACAACAGGGTTGCTATGATTGGCGATGCATAGGTGGATTCGCCACCAGGTGGCAGGGTAATCGCATGGAAAATCGCTAAAATTAGTTCATTTTTTAAATGCATACGTTAGTTCGCTGCTCATTTTCAGATTCCTCTAACAATTTTCAGTTTGCTGGGTTTTGTGAAGATTAACTCCAAAGTTTCGATAGTAGGAATATACGAAAAAGTTTCATTCACTCTGACTTTTTTGTGCGCTCCTTGGACATGGCGCACATCTCCGCGATAAGCAAGCATTTTCTCTTCAGGCTGCGGAATGCTGACAACTGTTCTCTCCAAAAATTGTAGCCGTTTGGGATGGGTTGTTGCGTCAACAAATAATCCAGAAAATTGAAATCCGTTGAGAAAATTTACAGCTTTTTCTTTAGAATAGAAACAGCAATATTCCTCAGACGTTCCGTTACCATTGTGATCAAACTTTCGGACAATTTTATGACTTCTGAAACTGTTTTCTGAGGTAAGGTAATATCCCTGGCAAGTCGACAAATTCCTAAACCAGCAGTTCTCTTTATTTGCTCTCTTCGATGGAAATTTCACTATTATTCACTAAGAGAATTCCTCAGCAGATATGGCCCCTTGAGCCATATCTGCTGAGGAATTCTCTTTGGGTGGATTTTGTTGTAATTCTAACCTAGCTTTTTTAAAGAAAGTGTGCACTCAATATTAAGGGGGCATTCAGGGGAACAATGATTTCATCTGGTATCGCTGAATGTTCTTGAATAATGTACCGTTTGAGAGATGTGAAGTGGGCATATCTCATGTTAAAATTTGAATAAATTGCCGAGGTTCTTCACTTTTTATTACCGAAGTCGGTGAAGCAAGATTTCAACGAAATTCATGGTAAACAACACTACCGAACTTCAGTAAATACTTTCATATAACCAAAATTCGTTAACTGTATGTACCGATATTCAGTTAACACATGTTTTCTAACGAGAAACGAGCAAAAATCGTGTTTTAACGATTAAGTTCAGCAATCTATTTTACTGAGATAAAAATATAAGATTAAGTGTATACACTGAGGCAAATAGACTTAAGAATTTCATAGGGCTCGAATTATGAATCACACATATGAATTTCATAAGCACGACTTATGAAAAATTTTCGTCTTACATGAGGTAGCTCTTCTACGCCATTAGTCATTCCATTTTCACAAGACGAGTGGTCCAGACACAGAACTCGTAATCTCAACGTCCAAGGTTCGGTTCCAGTCTGCTCAGTTTTATTATTTTGTTGTCGATATTATTTTACATAAGGCAAATCAATGAAATTCATACCGATTTCTTGTGGCTAAAAGTCATAAGTGGTTCTTATGGAATTCTTACGTTCTTTTGCCTCAGTGTAGGTTTGAAAGAATGTATCTCACAAACTATTGATTGTACTGAAATGATGGCTAAAATGAGATTTGATTTTAAAACGTGAAAAAAATATGTCTGTAAATATACTTTACCATTTTTTAAGTTATTAAAAAAACGACAAGGGACAGCCCTATTGGGTTGTACGCAATGGTGACGTAGGACTACGTAGTCTTATATAATAAATCTTATTTGTTAATTGCAGCAGGAGCTTGTGTTTTGTGTAGAAATAGGAATTCGAGCAGGGTTCTCTCTGTTTATACTTTATAGTATGACGCGAGTTAAGATTTCCCGGACGCGATAACCTTTTTAAAAAAATACAACTTAACTACACGCTAGCCTAAAACGAACTGAACTTTACTTGATAATCGATTATAACTACAGTTCACATTGCTCTCCTTGCACTTTTTCGCTGCTGGTGCTCCACGCCGTAAACTGCCAAGTTACATCGATCGTTGCCATCCGCTCTAAAGTTGTCGTCAGCATTCTTCACTGTCCCCGTTTGGGATGCTCCGTTGCTAACGTACGCCAATGTGTCCGTCAGCAATCTTCACTGTCCAAGTCCAGGTAGCTCGATTGCTAACTCGCGCTTGACATAGTTAGCCCACAGCGACTCACGAAGAACTACTGATTCCGATCAATAGCGGTGCGGCTTCTTCCTCTTTCTATGAATGCTCATGTGGGCTGTAGCTCGCTGCTTGCAGGCAGCCTTTCGTTGTGTACTGGAGAACAATATTGAAGGTCACGCGCCGAAAGCACTGCTGATGCCGACGACCGGACACCTCCACACACGGTGATTGGACTGAATCCAAACAACGGTTGAGGTTAGCCTTAATAGCTAGCTGCCCCGTAGGGAGCCTGTCGTTGTGTACCGGAGAATTGAATTAACACAGTTTGGTGAGATCGGATGGAATTCAACTTTGAAAATCTGTGACAGTCGGTGATAATTTTTATTATCATAGAAACAGTTGCACATTCGTGCAATTTTCAATAGTGACGTTTTGAAAAAATGATAAAGTATTGAATTTAACAGATGCGTAGAAATATTTCTGATCGATTGGTGATAAAATTATTCAAATTGGTACAGTGGAAGCTGAGTTATTAACGTTTAAAATCTTTCATAATTTTGTTTCAAGTTCCATTTTCGTTTTCCACCCCCATATAGAAAACACAGACGTAGTCCTACGACAAAAATTCATTCCAATTGATTGAAAAACATATTTTTTAATGTCTTCATCTGAGTCTTTCAAATGTAAAATTGTGAAGTGTTGAATATCGCTCCCATCCGATACTCACCACCCCCCCTTTCCACTGAGATTGTCTTCTGCATAAATTTCCACGCATGATTGCTCGGGAAAGTTTCAAAATTCAATAAAAGCATACCCAGCTTCCTCTTGGCTCATTTGCTCTCAACAGTTCCCATTAATTGAATTTTACAGCTTCAGTAACAGAACTAAGCTCTACCCTTCCTTTCGCAAGAACAATATTGCCATCAGGCACCTTCCGCCACTTCCGTCCCGATCTTCCCGTTTATTCTCTCACCGCTCAAATGACCCGTGCGTATGGCAACGATCGAAGCAACCAAGGACAACGGCTGTCGGGTCGAGAAGTTTGATGAAGCTTGGAAAATTTCCATCATCAAACCGAAGTTTAAAATCAAAGCTCCCACTTCTTCACTGTCACTGCCGTCGTCGGTGTCGTCGCTTCTGCTTCCACCCCTTACTACACGGCCGATGAGAGTAACCCAATATTGACTCGAATTCGACAGTGCACTTACTCAGTGAGTGGGTAACATTTTCGTCGATTTTCCTCATATTTCAGCAGTTTTCCTGGAAAGCACCGAAAAATTTACCCACCCACTGAGTAATTCCACTTCCACGCAATTTTGAGTCGAATTCGACTCAGCCACTGAGTTATTCTTATTCGTCGTGTACCTATTCTACCGAAAAAAAAAATCGTTCGAAAAAAAAGGATTCCCGAAAAGAACCCTCGCCAAATTAGGTTCCTTCCTCTCGCTCCATTCCATTCATTGTACAATTTTACTTTTCCATTTCTGCAACCGGGGAATCGCTCAAGAGTTCTTTTTTTTTTTATCTTTTATTCAATTTTAGAGAAAAGTGCAATCTCGGATCAAACAGAAATATTGAAAAGATACTCGAACAAGGGAGGTGGTGAACGTGAAGTGAAGACGACCCACACTCACAGAAACACAACAAGTCACCCATCGCAATCGCATCAAGTCGAAATGTGAAGAAAGGCAAGTTGAAAATCGAAAAGCACTTTCCACGGGAGAGAGGCAGAAGAAAGTGCAAGAAAAACCGGAAGGCGCCCATTTCTCGTTCAATAGCAAGCAATTTCCAGACCATTAGTGGGGGCATTTGTGACAGGCAACGGCCATTGAAGTTTCTGTGAAAAAAAAGGAGAAGGTTTGCTGCTGCGTTGTATTGTGTTTGTGGTGAGAGCGAGTCTAAAGAAAGGAAATCAAGTGGAACTAAGCAGAAATCAAGTTGCATTAGTTTTGAACACGTCGTTTCGTGGAGGCAAAGGAAGAAGAGTTGGTCTCCTTGATCCGTTTATAGCTGGTGTGAGGTGTGTCTGTGTGGTGAGTGGGTTGTAGTGTTGTTGTGTTCCCGGAGGGGGGAGGTGTTGGGTTCCTGGGTGTGCAGTGCTGGTCGTGGGTTGAATGGCTACCGCCGGACGACAACGTCAACAACGTCAACGTGCAACGTGGTGGCTTAGCAGGAAGAGGAAAAGTGCCGTCAGTGTCAGTGCAAGTGGTAACCGGGAAAACCGGGCCTCGTCATCGTCATCGTCGTCGTCGTCGGAATCGTTGGCCGTTGGCGTGTTACGTGGACCGCAAAATGGCTAGATTCTGCCCGCACTGGTCCGAGCTGAGATTTGTTAGAGCAAGTGCAAATACTACTACTACTACCGTCGCAGTCGTCGTCGTCGCTGCCGTTGTCGGCACGAAATCTACAATCAGAAGAAAGAGATACAGAGTGGCTTCCGGGGAAGAGCAGCCAACGGCAAGTTCGGGACGAAGCAAGAAAGTCAAGAAGCTGCTGTCTCTCTGCCAGAGGGTTGGAGGTGAGTATCTACTCTTTGAAACACTTAAATGCAATGGTCGATTCATAGCAAATGACGTTTTTCCAGTTCAATCAATTAGATGCAGGGATGTCAGGTTTATTAAAAAAAAAGTTCAAAGAGATGGTTGAAATGTCTTCACCGCTACGTTTAAAATTTGCGACCGGAAGCGAGTCACTTTTTTTTCCAAGCCTCCTTTTTTAAGGTCAAGTCACATTTTTAGCGTGATTTTATTTTGAGATTTAGCATTATGATTGCAGTGTGTAGGATCTGATACACTGTACCGAAACATCATCCTCTGTTCAAATGAAACCTCAAACCATTCAAATCGAAACATCGAAATAATGCTTCTCTCGAATACAGGATGAACATTGATACGAGAAGCGAACGAATCTCAGTTGAAATACGTAATGCTTCTTGTAACATTGTTACAAAATGGTCTTAAAAATAGTAACATTTGTAAAATATATTTTTTGGAAGTGTGTATCTTCCGCTTCTCAGGCTACAAGGAAGTCAGAAGGAAGACAATTGTATATATTTGGTGATGTTTGCATTCGAGTACCTTTATATGCATCGTAGTACCATGAGCGGCGAGAATTGGAAACGCTCATTTGAATCCGATCGTGAAGCAAGACATGCCACTCCGATTTGATCGCAGATAGTATAGCCAATGTTTTAAAGATGAAATGATGATATGTAAATTTTTGAAGTCATGGTATTAGTAGGGAGCCCCTCGTTGCGTAACACTTTGCTATGAAGGCCATCTTCAATTACCATTCTTTCTCGTTTCGATCGGCATAGTGGTTGGACGTAGCCTTAAAAAAAAACTTAGTGGAAAAGTTATTAATTGTGAGGATTCTTAGCCAATCGTAAAAGTTATAGTGAGTTTTATAGAGATACCGACCATAGGAAAATATTAAAAAAAAAATCTTGTATTTCAGTAACCGAGAAAATTGATAAAAATCAATATTGGTTGCGAACGTTATTATTGGCCCACGCGTGTCTAAAATTTATAAAAAGCCTAGTGAGTTTCTCGGTTAATTTAGTTGAATGTAGCCTAACCTAAAAAATTTTCCTTAGCATGTAAAGAGGCTAAAGTGTTTCTAAAAGAGAAAAGGTGAAACACACTTAAGACTCTGCTCGAGGTCCACGGTACAGGTAACTCCCCAACTCGAATGATGGAATTTAGAAAACAAAATTGTAATTGGTGCGTTCTTTTCACTTGAAGGACCAAATATCCTTCAACCAAAGGTGTTTCGTCGAGTTAGGTGTAGGGGTTCGCGTATGTCACGCGATCTCTGGGAAGGTCCGAAAACTCGTCAGCTTGTAGCTGGTCTCGTTGGCAGGTTAGCGATATTCCCCGGCGCACTTACGGGCCATCGGAAGTCACCACTACTTCCGGGGTTGTATATCGGACGCCAATTGCCAGATCATCCCACGTTGGCCTCGAAGCAGCACTCGCGCGAGTAGAAAACCGGGCCCGCTAAAAACCAGTCAAAACGTGTACACGTGTGGTGGCTGTCTCGAGGAGAAAATCGTTCTAGCCGAGACACGCACCACTGACAGCATCATCAGTGAGAGGTAGTCTATGACGGCAGCCCCGAGGGACAACCAAGGCGGATTCAGTTGATAGTTGATTTGTTTAAACTACCGTCGGTATAGCAGAGCCGATGGCGAATAGCTAACCCCTGTCAAACCCGAATCTAGAGTGTATGAAAATATAAGAACCAAACATGACTGTCGTGAGCAAAAGAGAAAAGCCTGATGATTGAGTTTTTTAGTTCGTGCATTATTAGTTTGGGTCCCCGTTGATTACATTATCTAGGGGTCATATTGTGTAGCGTTGGTTGTGGTACGATCGGAAAATGGGGGTAGTAATTTGAAGAACTCGTCTTGAGAAGTCTCGCCAGGCACGTGCAAACCTAGCCTTTTCGCATGCAAGTGACTCCTTTGCTTGCTTGGCGCTAAAATGGAGAGGTTGATGCACCTAAAGACGAACCTTTTGGCAGCAACCCGTTACACTTTGTAGAATGATTGTCATCCCTAATTGAAATGCATATGGTATTGGTTCAACTTCATAGCACAAATCGTCCAAAACGATGATGTAAATAATTCTATCGAACGTCATTTGCTGATCTGAGCTGACAAACGAGGGGGAAACAATTGCTAACAGAGGCGCACCGAACATTGGTCTATTTCGTGGTGGACGAAGTTTCCTGTTTCCCGTCAAGCAGTTCAGTTCGGTTTGAGCTCACTCTCTTGAGTTGTTCGGAAAGCTTTTCGAGTTAGTGTTCGCGCTCTTTCTTTCGTGGTTTGTCGTGCGTGCGTGTGTGTGTGTGCCCCAAAATGGGAAAGCATCGTTCGCGAAGCCCGGCGAAGGACCAGAACCCCGGTGAAGGAAGCTTCGGTGTGCCTACATCGAACAGGTTTGCTGTTCTTCCCATCGAAAAAGAGGAAGAAGAATCGGGGCCAGTCCGATTGCACGATTTCTCGCGACGATGCCACTGCGACGAACGGCAGTGATGAAACTGGCGTCGCTGGGCGTCAAAGCCGAATTCAAGTTGGACAGAGTCGGCACCAAGGTGCTGCTCCGTACGAAAGTGGAGTAAAACTTGGTCGTCGCTGATCTGAGGACTTCCAAGGTGGAATCCATCACCCACGACATTCCTGAAAAGAAACCATACAAGGTCGTCATCAGAGGTCTACCGAACTTTGACCCGAAGTTGATCGAAGCTGAAATCAAGAACCGCTACAAGCTGGCCCCAACTGCCGTCTTCCGGATGACAAGGAGGAACGAGAACGTCAAGAAATATCCGGATTGCCTTTTCCTGGTGCATTTCCAGAAGGGAACGGTGACGCTCAATGCGTTGAAGGCCATCCGCTCCATCAATTCCATTATTGTTCGATGGAAGCCATACCGTGGCGGCCGTCACGACGTCACCCAGTATCAGCGTTGCCTGAATTTCGGGTACGGCACCCGAAACTGCTTCGTCAAGCCGCACTGTGGCAAATGTGCCCAAAACCATGTCTCCTCCGAGTAGTGTTGTCGACGAGTCGGAAACGGCAAAATGCGCCAAATGTGATGACTCTCATCAAAGGTCCGACAAACAGTGCCCCAAGCGCGAAGATTTCAAGCGGATCCGAAAGCAGGCGTCCACAAGAAATCAATCAGGACGAAAGAAGGACAATACGCCGGTATTCAGAGTGGAGGACTTCCCGCCTCTTCGTGCTACGCAACACGGTCAAGCAAATCCGCGGGTGCAACCCGGCCCTCGTCAAGAAACGTCTGGTGCTACTGCTGGACAAAGCTCCCCATCCCCCCTGGATTCTGGAGACAACCATCAGCACAAAACGTCAATCCCGATCTCTTCTCTGCGGATGAGCTGATGAAGATTTTCGTCGACATGACCAGCGCCCTTCGTATCTGCCGCAGCAAGCCCGAACAGATCCAAGTGCACGGTAAGTTTATTATTCAGTATGGTGTCTAAACCGATAACTGTCGTCACATGGAACGCATGCTCTGTAAGGGCAACAAGGCTCGAGCTTGCTGACTTCCTCCGCAAGCATAGTATCGACGTGGGCCTCCTAACAGAGACTTTTGGTTGCCTGATCCCCACATTATCCGGCTTGATCGTATCGACTCCAGGGGGCGTGTACTTGCGGACACGGCTCGATTATTCGATCCTCTTGGCCTGGTGGGACCAGTCGTCATCATTGCGAAGATGTTCGTGCAAGATTTATGGAGACAGAAGTGTGAATGGGATCGAATACAGGAGAAATCTCTCCGCTTCAGATTCTGTTTCGATTCCTCGGTGGGTGGCGTTCTGTACGGACCTTGCTTCAATTCAAATTCACGGCTTTTGCGATGCGTCCAAGAAAGCCTACGGAGCATGTCTGTACTTCCGGAGTACCACATTCAGCGGATCAGTGGAAGTTCGTCTCATCACAGCGAAATCCAAAAGAAAGGGGAAGAAAAGGGAACAAACTACACCACGACTGGAATTGTCAGGCGCGCTACTCCTTAGTCATCTGTACGAGAAGATCGTCAGCAGTACCGGTATCCACCACACAGCTCACTTTTGGACCGATTCTACGATCATGATGTACTGGTTGTCATCCTTGCCATCGAGATGGCAGATGTTCGTGGCGAATCGAGTGTCTGAAATCCAGCACATTACAAAGGGAAGTTCCTGGAAGCATGTAGCCGGTGCAGCCAATCTGGCCGACATTATCTCTCGAGGAATGATTCCAGCCCAGTTACAGTATGAAAAGCTGTGGTTCGAAGGTCCTCTGTGGCTTCGCCAAGATGCTAGTATATGGCCGTCGAATGTTCCAGAAGAAGAAGTTGATCAAGCACTCCTGGAGGAAAGAAAGATCGTTGCTCTGCCAGCAACATCGGACCCAGTCAGTGAAATATTCAGCCTTCGTTCGTCGCTCTTTATCTTGGTCCGATTGATCGCAAGAATACGCCGTTTCGTCCATGATACACAGCATAGAGATGAGAGGCGTATTGCTTTCCTGTCGTATCCTGAGCACGAAGAAGCAATAGCAGTCCTGGTTCGACTGGCACAACGAGAATCGTTTCCGATGGAATTCGCTGCATTGGAGAAAGGAAAGTCTATCAGCCCGTCGTCAAAGTTGAACAAGCTCAACCCTATCTTCATCGATGGAGTATTTAGTGTAGGAGGTCGATTAGCAAAGGCACCAGTATCAGCAAGTCGGAAGCATCCGATAATCCTGTGTCACCGTCATCCGTTGGCCAAGGTGGTCCTAGACTATTATCATCGCAAGAACTTCCATTCTGGGATGCAGCTGCTTGTGTCCACAGTGCGGGAGCGATTCTGGGTAACACGCATCAGAAGCCTAGCCAACACTGTCATTCATGAATGCGTCCAGTGCTTCCGTAACAGACCGAAGGTTTTGGATCAGCTAATGGCTGACCGTCCATCCGAACGTGTATCTCCAGTGCCACCATTCCTGAACGTAGGCGTGAATTACTGCGGACCGTTCCTGATTAGCTATCCAATCCGCAGATCCCTAGGAAACACTTTGTCGCAATCTTCGTCTGCCTTGTAACGAAGGCAGTCCATCTTGAACTGGTGAGCGATTTGACCAGTGAAGCCTTTCTTGCTGCCTTCAAACGATTCGTGGCACGCAGGGGAAGACCAGCCCTAGTCATGTGCGACAATGCCTTGAACTTTGTTGGAGCCAAGTGTCAGTTGGATGAATTACGGCAGTTATTCATGGATCAAGGATTCCACGATTCTGTTGCACGCGGAGCAGTAGAGGAAGGAATAGAGTTTTGCTTCATTCCGGCAAGATCTCCCAATTTCGGCGGCTTATGGGAAGCCGCGGTGAAATCGTTCAAAGGGCATTTCAAGCGCACTATCAGCGATAGATTGCTCCAGCATGACGAAATGTCTACAGTGTTGCCACAAATAGAAGCCATCCTGAATTCTCGACCGCTCACTCCGATCAGTAACGACCCGTCGGATTTCGAAGCGTTAACTCCTGGACACTTTCTCGTCCAGCGACCATTAACAGCGATTGCAGAACCTTTGTTGGAAAGTATTCAGCACAATCGGCTGTCTATGTGGCAGCGAGCTCAGGACTATGTTCAGCAAATCTGGAAGAAGTGGTGTGTCCAGTACCTTTCCGATCTCCACAATAGAACAAAATGGACCCGCAAGCGCGATAACATCTCCATCGGTACCTCGATTCTGTTGAAAGAGGACAACCTCCCGCCTCTGAAATGGAAGCTAGGACGTGTGGTTGACATCCATGCTGGCTCAGATGGAAACATCCGCGTAGTTACTGTAAAAACGCAAAACGGTCTGTACCGAAGGGCAATTTCCAAAATTTGTATCCTACCGATACGTGACAACAACTTTGATCTCTCTGCTTCCGAGCAAAACTAAACTGCGCTCTGCTCGTGCTTCAGTGCGACCAGAACTAACCACTGTCACCATTTTCCAATTCCGGAAATCCGGAACATCTTGAGGTCTACCAAGTCCAGTCCATCCGTCCGTAATTCGCTGATCCATCATTGGTGATCGGCATCCTGTATCGTTCTGCATGTGTGAAGTTCATGGTGCTGTCTTGTCTGTCATTACAATACATTCCTGACTTTGTCGCAATTCCTTTCCGTAAAGTAGGGTGATGATTTTCAACGACGCGTTGATGGATAAAGGGAATCCATGGCACCCCAATCCGATGTTCGTCCAAATTGGAGCCTCGCTGAGCATCTTCATCGTTTTGGTGGTCAACACATCCGTTTTTCCAATCAATTCATCCGTGTGATATGGGATCATCGTTGGTGCTTCGGCGCTTGCGGAGGCCAGGAGGCCTCCACTCCAGGCAAGTCGATTTATAGTTGGGTTAAATAGTTGAAAAAGAACTCTCTCATTTTTTAGATAATTCTTCCGTCGCCAACCCGTGGACAAACCCGTGTCAGACCTCAAGTAAGTCAGTCGAAGAAGAAGATCGAAGTCATTCCATGCCAAGTTCCGACAGTAGTTGGGTTGTAGCAGTCGTCCAGCAGTAGTAGCAGTGTAGCAGTATCAAAGAGGAGAAGTTAGTCCACGTTATTGACGTCGTGGAACCGGCAGCAGTATCGAAGAAGACAAGTGTTTAGATTAGATTGAAATCACTGAGATTCCAAGTTGGGCGGTATGTTTGAACATAAATAGAAGAACCCTACCACCAAATATGTTCCACACGAAATTTTACTTCACCTACTCTCACACAAAGCGATCAGGTCCTCTCACGATCCTCTCTTCAGCTAATCTCCTTTCCACGAGTAGATTGTAGGTACGAGTGAACAGCTGATAGGGGCAAACTATTAGTTATCCACCAATCGCGCGCGTACACAGATGTTTTTATCATTATTCCTGTGACCTTTTTTTGAAGAAGAATAAATTCCGTTCCCGTTACAAATAACCGCAATTAGTAATTTAAGGTCCAAAATCCGGTAAATTTGTGATCCTGTGCGAACAATGTCAACTGGGTGCAGTTTGGGCATGTGGTTGACAGAAAAATCGATGAAAATCTGCCGCTTGACACCGTAGAGGACATCGACCGGGCTCTGGAAGGACTCCTCCAGGCCATATCCGTGGCTGACGAGACGTGTGTTCGACAAGTTCCTGTGAGGGGTAAGTTTGTTGCCATTGGTTTCCACACCCAATTACTGATTCACTTGAGAAATTTGCGTAGACGCCAGTTTCAGAGGGCTGGAGATCTGAAAACGTGAAATGGTCGTTCTGAACGGTCAGATTGCTTCCAGAATGGACTCACTCCGAAATGAAAGTTTCGGGCGTGTTGTTCAGAACCTGGATGACCGCTCCCGTCCATTCTGGAAGGTAGCCAAGGTCCTGAAAACTCATCCCAAACGCGTTCCACCTCTCAGAGTCGAAAATGATGACGATCGGCTTTTAATCACCCCACAGGAGAAAGTAAATGCGATCGGCAAGCATGTCGCTTCATCGCATTTGCTTGGCTCGACTATCCAAAGTCCGCTCGATGATCAGGTTGCGCAATGCGTTCAAAACCTTGATCCCTCCCCTTGTGTCGTGCCTCTGGCGGATATGATAACAGTACAACAGATTTGCTCAGCGCTGAAATTCACGAAGAACATGAAGGTTCCCGGGTTTGATGGTATATTCAACTTGATTTAGAAGAGACTCAGCACGAAAGTGCAGTCTCTTCTAACCGCTATCTTCAACAGATGCTTGGAACTGCACTACTATCCAAGCATCTGGAAAGTAGCAAAAATCATACCAATCCGCAAACCCGGTAAGGATCCAACATTGCCTTCAAGCTTCAGACCAATCAGCCTCCTTTCAGCGCTGAGCAAATTGTTCGAGAAAATAATTCTCAACCGTTTGCTTAAGTTTGTTTGACAGTTTGGGTTTAGGAAGAGGCATTCCACAAATCACCAGCTAGTTCGGGTGATGAATAATATTTGAAGTAACAAAGCTGTAGCTAACTTGTAACTTCTATTTTCCACTACATCTTGTAAAAATCACCCGAAACTACCTCCAGCAACGCCTGGAAGGTCTTGGTCACCTGATCAGCTTTGCCGCATACAGGAACTTTCTAGATGGCCAGGATCCCGAGGGGGGGCGACACATCTAAATCTCAAGTTTAGATGCTCAACAAATCTCACACTAGCGAATCAATCTTCGCATCTACTTGCATTGCTCATCATCTTTTTGCAGGAAATCTTCAGAATCGTCATCAATCTTCTTTCTATCTACTCAGCGTGCGCGCAGCTAGCCACAGCAAAACACAATTTTTTTGCATCGTAGATAGAGTCGTCCCCTTCGCAGGATCCCAAGCTGCAAATACAAATGCACACTAGCGCCGTGTAGTGATTAAATTCTCAACTTGTCTGCCCGCCAACACATAGTGTTGCGAGAATTTATTATTCGGATTTCGTTGAAGCTACTCGTCTTTGCGATGAGATCAGCTCAAAGCTGTAAATGTTTATTATTTAGGAACATTTTAGGTTAATTTAGTTTAATTTACTTACAATTCGCCTCCTATTAAGTATTTCACAAAATATTTCTCAGCAACAAATTCAAAATACTATTAAGTTTCAATCTGTAATTAATTTAATAATTAGGATTTAATTAGGTATGAGAAAATATAATTTAATTCACTTTATCAATTTCGTTCACTACAACAATGATGACAAATCGTTTTCTGATTGCTTACTTCTAATTGACGACCCATGTCCTACCACCGTTGAGTTGACAGTTAACTCTTCCACACACAAACTCTCATGTCGATTCGAGGGACTGTCCAGTGGCAACATTCTCCCCCTCGTGACGCCCGGAATCCGTTTTGGCGTCACCATCAGGAACTACATCCAAAACTGCAAGTTTGCAAACCGGTCTCCTCAATACGCCGCTAGATGTCTCTACGTCGGCTCGACGTGCTACTCCATCTTTGCCCGGATATGTACGGATAACACGGCCTCGTGTCCACTGGTTACGAACTCCTTCGTCTGCTATTACTACTATCGCTCCTTCCCTGACTGGTGCCACGTCTTGAAACCACTTGGTTCTGCGGGAAATGATTGGTAAGTACTCAATAATCCAACGCCGCCAAAACGCATCCAGCATATGTTGCAGTAACTTCCATCTGTCTAATAGAGCTTTTCCTTCATCCACGGAAGCTTTGACCGGCTGTCGAATTCCGCTCGAACTTAGCATCAAAAAGTGATTCGGAGTCAACGACTCCTGTTCTTCATTGCTCAGCGGCACGAACGTTAACGGTCGTGAATTGATCATGTGTTCTGCTTCGTCTAACAGCGTCATGAAGGATTCATCGTCTAGCTTGCGTGACGTTGGCAATGATCCCAGCGCAGTCTTTACAGATCGTACCATCCGTTCCCAACAACCACCCATGTGAGGGGTAGAGGGAGGGTTGAAACGCCATTTGGTGTTCGTGTCCGTAAAAGTGCTGCTCGTCGCGATGTTGATTTCTCGCAACTCAATTTCCAGCTCCCTGCTAGCACCAACGAAATTGGTGCCGTTGTCCGTATACACTTCTTGCGGTGCTCCTCTTCTGGCGATAAACCGTCGAATGGCTTTCTTGCATGAATCAGCTGTCAAACTGAAGACTATCTCCAGATGTAATGCACGCACGGTAAGGCACGTAAAGACAGCTACCCAGCGCTTGACGGAACTTCGTCCGACCTTAACGAAGTAGGGGCCGAAATAATCAATTCCTACAAACGTGAACGGTCGTAGGAACGGCGTTATTCGGATCCGAGGCAATTGACCCATCTTTGGTGCTACGGGTTTCGCTTTATACACGCGGCACCACTGGCACCGAAGTGCTGCAGAGCGTACTTGAGTTCTGAGTTTTGCAATATAATGTCTCTGACGCACTTCATTGACAATCGTTTCATTGTTAGCATGACGAAATTTACGGTGATACCAATCCAGTAATAGGTTGGTAATCCGATGACCCCGCGGTAGAATGATAGGGTATCTGGTATCGTACGGGACGTAGTCTGCTGCTGCGATACGGCTATCCACGCATAGAACACCGTGCTCGTCGCTGCTTCTATCCAACGCCTTCTGCTGTTCTCGCTTCAATTGACTGTTATGTTTTAGAGTAGCTACCTCGTCCAGATAGCACTCCGATTGTGCAAGTCGCCACAGACTCCGTTCTGCTTTCTGCAATTCTTCACTGCTTAACTCTTCTGCACCCTCGCACTGTGTATTTCCAGCTCGTCGCAAACTTTTCTCTTGGAAGCGGTAAACGTATGCTACGCTTCGCAACAGACGCTCGTATTTGGAAAATCTTTCCACCTCAATGATCGGAACTGTTAGAAAGTGACTGCATATATATGCCGATCGTAATTCTTCCGTTGTTTCTTCCGGTACCTCGAATCCGCTGCTCGGCCACTCACTCTTCTTTTCGTAGAGAAACGCAGGACCTCGCATCCACCTACTATCTGGCGTACAGTTCGGGCCTTTTCCCCATTTTGTAGCTTCATCTGCAACATTGATTTTCGTTCCCAGCCATCGCCATTCCTCAATCCTTGAATGGTTTAAAATTTCGTTGACTCGGAAGGCAACTTATGGCCGATACCGACGAGTGTCCGATCTAATCCACGAGATAATCGTACTAGAGTCACTCAAAAAATTTGTGCGCTTGACTTGGATTGAATGACCTTCTTCAATCGTTTTTCGAAGACGCGCCCCGAGAACCGCCGCCTGCAATTCCAAGCGCGGGATTGATAGTAACTGTAGTGGAGCAACTTTAGTTTTTGAAGCAACTAGAGCACATCGTATCTGTCCACGATCCTGAACACGGAAGTAAGCCACGGCCGAGTATGCTTGTGCACTGCCATCGACGAATATTTGCAATTCCAGGGAATCATAACAGTTAACATCGTACCCCG